ATCATTCTAGACGTCCAACAATCTTGTGAGATTATAGTTCTAAGATATGTGTGTATGATGTAGCTAACTGTATCTAGAAGCATTAGAAGAATGGAGTAACACTCTATATACAGAACCGCTAAATCTGGAGTACTGCAACAGCTGTTTCAAATGCTGGAATCCCACTATTCCTATGTTTCTATTAGGTTACATTAAAGAGAACAGCTTCACGTGTTTTAATTTCACAGAAAAAACAAACCGAAACTGGTAAAATGATTGTTCTTTTTCTTCTTGTTGTTGAAGAGACAAACATATAGTTAAGAAGGGAGAACCAGCATGAAACAAGATAATCATCCAAGGAATGTTACTCTAGGGCATTTATCAAAAACAAACCGAAACTGGTAAAATGATTGTTCTTTTTCTTCTTGTTGTTGAAGAGACAAACATATAGTTAAGAAGGGAGAACCAGCATGAAACAAGATAATCATCCAAGGAATGTTACTCTAGGGCATTTATCAATATTTTTAATAATTCTATTGAATATCTCTCCTCTCCACAGTTAAACTGATGACTTGAGGGCCTAGGCCAGTAGGCGGGTGGAAAATCTGAAATGAAGGAATTGTATAATGCTTTAGGTTGCATCTGTGCTGATAGCTGGGGTTCAAACCTTTCTTCGAGTGAAACTTATTTTTAATTAATGTTGAAATTATGATCAAAACAAAAAGTAGTGATACCCGATCAAAACATTTTACATATACAGAAACAGTCAAATTAAAATAAAGGGGTCAACCATATACAGACGTGATATAAAAAAAGTCAAATTATATAAAAGGGCATACCCTATAAAGTTGTAACGTAGAAGTGCACAATAAAAAATTGGAGAAAACTTTATATTGCAACTGGTACAAGCAACAACAGGAATATATAAAAGGGGACCAAATGTTCCCAATTTATGTTGTTGTTTGTTTAACTTATTCACTTTGACATTACATTTTTACAAAGTTTGCTCTGTTTTATAACTCGGCTCTATTTTTTTAAATCACATACCTTTATGTGGATGTCCCCTTTATCCTAACTTGACTCTTTCTGTACATTCAAAATTTTTAGATCAGTTGTTGACATAACAGAAGTGAACAAATATTTCAGTCTGGCGTTATATGTGTGACATGTTGTGTATTTACGCTCCAACTGTATTCTGCTGGGCGTAAGAACTGCTTTATAAGCCAAATAACAAGTAAAATGTAAAGGTGATATAATGACTATACACGCCAAATATTTTATAGGTAATGAATAAATATTATTTGTTATGTGGCCCCGAAATGGTTTTAGCATATGCTCCATAACCAGAAGAAAATAGTGATATCATACTCTACGTACGTATGATGAAGTAGAAAAGGCCTGTAACTTAAAAAAGGCTAAATTTCGCCAAAATCAGAGAAATGAACGGAAGTTTTAAATGAATTTGAACGTGTAATTTTTAACTGTTTCAAAAGACACATTTTCCTATATCTTTGGCACTTTTTGGGGTATTCCGATTCTGCCTTGGGCCGAGCGTGGTTAAATGGTTTAGTGTGCACGAACTGTGAATCGCAGGGTTCATAATTCGCGTCCCCTTGTCGCAATAACACGCTCAGGACCGGGAGGTGTTTTATTTGGTCAGACGAGAGTAGCACAACAGTCAGTGAAGAATGCTGTTGACCAGCTACCTTCTTTTTTTGTAAATCTGTTCAAAATTAGGGACGGCTATGCTCAAATAGCCCTTATGTAGCTTTGCGTAAAAATTTGAAAAGGAGTCAGCTTGGTGCTGTCTTTTGTTGTCTATCTGTCTGGCCATATCTTTCTCTCCCGTGGCGCGTGTTTTTATGTCATTAGTGACTAAAGCTTCGAATAACTGCCCTTTACATGAAAGTGAAAAGTGTATTGGTTTATATTTTGGAGAACTCTTGAATGCTTCTGTTTTTTTATATTACACACTTTAATAAGTTTAACAGGTATGTTGATAACGCTAAATTCGCACACACTACATTTTCCTCCAATTGAATGTAGTTACTTCAAACTTTTTGTCTTTCTGCATAATTGTACATATCTATACATTTATTTACTCTTTTCTATTCTATGAAACATGCCTCTCTTTGCTTGAGAAATGCTTTACTCAATTTTTTCATCCTGTAAACTCTACTTTATAGGAATTATTTAGAGGGCCTCAACAATACTACTGATAATCATATCCTTACACCTTTATGTTTAATTTTATAAAACTTGCTATTTTTAGTGAACCATGACACGTGGGTAAGACAAATTATCATTTTACTCATAAATGAACTCACAATTCGAGCGACGTAAGAAATTTAATTTTAATTGAGGCATTAACTGACATTTCAGGAGTTATTGAGAAAGACTAGTGGTAGTAATTTGCATTGTTGGACAATTGAAAACAACAAATGTCACGTCCTAACATTTTTCCTTAAAGAACAAAACAAATACTTTGTTTATTCAAATATTAAATATAATGTTGTAAGAAAAAATAATTATACAAAAGTTAAAATTAATCCCCGTTCAGTTTTGTAGCAGAAAGTTTTAACTTTGGTAAGCAGGAACTAAGATGAAAATTTGGCAAGGTACACTTTGAATCTTTTTGTAAACACTCTGTAACAAGCCTTTCTCGATTTTTTAAGTTTTTCTACAAGATTATTCTCGAGTACAGGTGGCTCAGTGGTAAGCTCAAGGACTTATAGAACTTAAATTTGAGGTTCGATCCCTTATATGGGTACAGCTCAAATAGCTCATTTTGTGCAGGTTAACAAACATTTGTTATTATTAGATTATGTTTTCACTCTGGTGTGTGTGTGTGTTAGTTTGTGTGTTTATCAGCAAGAGTTCTTGAAAATGGCTAAATGCATTTGGACGAAAGTTGGCATACATTTGAACTATGACTCAACTTAAACTTGATTAGTTTTTGAAAGGTCAAAGTCACAGCAAGGTGACGAAGATGAAAAATCCCTATCTGTTAACATGGGGAGTGATTTTTTACACTATTTTTGCTCTATAACTCACTTAGAATGATTGGATTTTGACGAAACTTGGTGACATATGTAGAATATTATTCGTCATTGTCCTGTCAAAAATGGTCCGTGTCCATTGAGAACGACGAAAATGATCAATGCTGCGTGGCGGAGGTATGCACTCTACTGAGTGCCCCTCTAGTTATTAATATCATGTGAAGTTATATATTGAAAAGGTTATACAGTTGTGAACTTTTGATATAAAAAATCTAGTGAAACTGTTTCTTTTTTTTTTTTTGCGTACTATGAATTCCGAATGAGAGTACTATACAAAGGGGGATTGCATCTCCCTCAACCCCTTCTTGATCCTCCTCCTATATGCTTGAAATACAATTATTAGTGTGTGCTGTGAAAGATTGTGTAGACATAGCGGCCCATATTTGTTTTCTATTATTGTACCGAACGTTTTGGTTGCTTAAAGAAAGCAAAGAATATATAGTTGGTGGATCAGTTAACAGTATGTTCCCACTTAAATACAATGAAAATTAACGTAATTCAATATAGCGCAAATTATTTGATGTGAAAACTGTATATATTGTACAGTTTCCTTTATCATATATTAGTTCTGCTTCATTCTGTTTGTTTTAGAATTTTTATACAAAGCTGCTCCAGGCCTTTCTGTGTATAGATGTTCCTTATTTTAGACTAATGGAAATGCAGCTAGCCACCAGCACTCACTGCCAACTTATGGGCTACTCCTGGCTGACCGAATAGTGAAGTTTAATCGTCACTATAATAGAGTACTTTGCCCAAAAGAGCGGAGTTCGTAAGCGTGGCAGCGAGATGTAATCACGAATCTTCAATCTCGCAATCCGGACATCTTAACCACGTCTGCAAAACTGTTTGCAAATTAATGTGCAAAATTTGAAAATGTTTTATCATTCACATTAGATGACTACAAACACTAAAAATGGTAATTTAAATAAAGGTCCCTGAATAGCTTGTTTTATCATCACTTTGGACTGGCATGGACTACTGGTTAGCGTACCGGTCTGTGTGTGAAAGGTCCAATTTAGAGCGACGATATGCCATTGATTGCGACACACACTTTTAACTGTGGGACGTTATAACCGTTAGAGCCGATTAAGAGCAGCGGTGTAGGCGGCTGGCTCTACTGACTGGATACTCTCTTTCTGGCTAACACTTGTACATTAGGGATGGCAAAACCAGAACCTTGAGCCTTTAGATCACGTGATACAGTTTAGGTTTATAATACCGAAGTAATTTTGCTTTCTTTGAGTTGACGGACTATTTTCAGTTGTGTACTCAGTGAAAGAAGCGTTTCTTATCACGGCTAAATTTGGAACATTGTTAGACTTGAAAGAGTTAGTTACTTTGAAAGACCTATTGATAAACGTCATTTCTATTTTTAAAAATGTACCATGCAACACACTAAACTTTGTAGTTTTTGTGTGGTACTTGAAACAAATGTAAGTGAGGTATCTACAAAAACTGGTATGATAGCTCTTGAACTTGCACGGATTCTTCTCATTATAGTATTTTATTAAATAAACATGAAATATTTAAAAACAATGTTATATTCAATATTAACAAATCACACATAAGACTGCTATTTTTATTAGTTATTGTAAGGTGTACTTTTCCCGCCAACTGTGTAATTAAATACGTTGCTAGGCGCTCCTGTTGATATGACTATTCAAAGTAGGAGTTGGCGTTTTTGGTTGGTGGAAGCTACGGCATACATTTTGCGCAAGCGCCGTACTAGCTTTTCTAGCAGTTCTCCTTATATTATAGCGCCTTCTGTGCGCGTGTTACTTGAGTTGACATTGACCTTGATTCCGATGAGCAGCCGTAGAGGTATTTACGCGTCTGTTAATTGTGAGTAAAGCTATACGTTGAGGCTGGCGCCAAAGCCTACTTAGGCGACTAAAAACTATTAATTTCATTTTTTAATAATAAATGTTAGAAGTTATTTCTATTAGTTACATTCAGTATGCGTCCTTCCTCAGTTATATCGTGTAAGACACTACCAAAGATGGGGTTGTGGTGCAACAAACATGTACGTGGCACTGTACTACAGCCTAGAAAGATGTTGACCGCGTGATAAGAGTTTTTTGTGTTATCGTTACTGTTTTCGTAGGGGTCGCTGCTCGTGGTTAAACATGATCTCAAAGAAAAGCGTTGTCGAGGTAGCTGTAGGATCTGTGAAACAGTCTGGTTTTCACCCTAATCATGCGTAATGTCTGAGCAGACAGTCTGGGACTGTTTTCAGGTACCTTCTTCAGCATTATCTTCTGTTAAAGCGGAAGTCTCTTCGTGATCAATTATGTCTAGACTAATGATGACGTGAGTGTTTTGGTCCTCGAAACTTTCATTCCATTACTTCCCGAATGCTGAGCGCAGAACTGACATTTTTGTGTCCTATACGTGAAAGAAGGAATCTATACTTTAACCGTTGGTAAAATCAATTAAACAAATTTAGCTTTGCTCAGTATGAACAAGTTGGGACCTAAAAACTATCACAGTTAAATACGTTGAGAACCTACACAAAAAAGGTTTGTAAACAATTAGATTACATACAATTTTCATAATTCGCCATATGCTACGATTATTGTAGTATTAATTTTCTTATATATATTTAGTCTTCCTTATAGCTAACTTGCGGTTTACAGAAATATGGAAAAAATCAAATAATTTCAACCCAACACTTTTTCTATAGCTAATGGATGACCGATGATACAAAATGGCGGAATTACCTTGCGATCTTCTGGCTTAAATTACACTACGTTAAGATTTACATAGGTTAAAACAAGTTTCTGAGTTATTCAGGGGTTTTCATAATCGTGTAGCAGTTTTGTTACTCGTGTAAGCATATCAGTGGTATTTTTATTATATGAAAATAATTACAAGTTAGATATATTTACATATACACAATTTTTATATCAAAAAACACAAGAATAACCTCTCAAAAATTAGTTTTACGATATTCTAAAGCTTTTCAGTAGCGGAAGTCACAATTCTGTTATAGTATTATATATATATTCGACAAAATTGTTGTACAACTATGAATTACATGCTTTTCATTTTGAACGAAAGATGCTTTTTTACAGCATTTATTCGAAAGTAAAGAAACACGTTATATTAACTGAACGTTCTTCATTTAATTCAATTTTATATAAAATGTACTTTGCATATTTACCCGTAGTTTCACTTTTTTGCAGTTTAACATTTCGTTTTCAAATCAACGAGAACTCATTTAGAACAGTCAAAACACGTTATGGTAATTGGAACTGTCACGTGCCCCCTTCTTATCACAGTTTATATAGTGGCGTCGTTGCTTACTGCGCCATCCATGTGTGGTGTGATATTATGATAATTTAATGATACTAAACTAATTTATCATTCTATATAGTCCAGTGATTTTAAAAGATCATATATTTTCTTAGAACGATACTTTATTAATTCTACTGAACTGATTGATACGTTACAGGGTATGTGTAGTAGAAATAAAAGATATTAAATAACTTCATAAGTAACCTGCGTGTGTTTCTAATTATTACTTGTGTCCTATTTAATAATATTTGTTCACATTACATCATAATCGAGATTAAATACTTTGACATGTTCTCATGCTCATAGTTTGATTCTGTTATTTTTATCCAGAAGATTTCAGAATGTCATAGAAAAACAGAATACAGTTTTAAAATGCTTTGAGTACCCAACTGACTTTCCAGCCTGGTGGTTAGGTCACTTTACTCGCAATCGGTATCGAATCCCGTCTCCTAACATGACTGTTCTTTCAGCCGTGGGGACGTGTTAATGTTACAGTCAATCCCACTGTTCGTTGGTAAAGAGAAGTCCAAGAGTTGTTGGTGTTGACTACCTTTCCTATTGTGGCTTTGCGCGAAATTCAACTAAACAAACAAACAAAACTGGCTTTCTATAAAATATACAAACGAAAAAAATATGTTTTTTCTTACATTACATCGAGAAAACAATGAAAATATAGAATTGTGTAGTTTTCACAGGCAACTTAGGCATCGCCGTGGCATTATAAATACTTCTTCACTTAATTAACAAGAAAGTCAATCTCAATTCAAATATGTTTGTGTGTAGCTGGTGAGTGATGATCCAAAATGGCGCTATTACTTCACTCTCATGTGAATGTCAGACTGAGATTATAGAAGTAAGCAGAAGTTCCACATAAGGACAAAATTAAACGCCAGTTGTTGTTTTTAATATTCTTAAACGTGCATGAGGTTACGCTCATATTAAAAACACACCCTTCACCCATGAGTGAAGTGCACTCGCTCTAGTTTTTCGGACTTGTGGGTTAAAAATATTTAGAAGTATGTTTGTATTTTACTCTTATTTTTTTTTTTATTATTATTGAAGTACAGTGCCAGTAAGTCGGATTGGTGGGGTAGGTATAACACTAAAATTCGGGAATTGATCCCGTGACAAATTTTACAGTTTTACGCTTAAATCAAAGAAAACATTAATTAAAGTACATGAGGTATGCAATAGGTAGAAATATTGTTATAATAAGAGTAGAAATAAATAAATAACGACAAGAAGAAAAAACAACCTTGTTTTGTGTTTTATTCCTTCCCTACCTGGCAATTCCGTTAGCGAATTAAATTGTCTGAAGATTAGCAGGTTAAAATCCGCCAAGGACTGTATAGTTATTAAAGATAAGAAAACACTTAGGTGTTTGCGAGAGGATTAATAATTCAAGAGAAGCTTTTCTCAAGAACTGAGATAACGAACATATCACATACTGTTCTACTTAACTCGTCACAGTAATGACATTATGACATATATGCTTGGAATAAGTAATATGTGCAGAGAGAAAACAATGGACTCGACGATTAAAGTGTGATGTAATAAAAAAGAAGAATATACTAGTCTTCTGAAGAAATAGTTGTTTAGGTAGTTTTCTTTATTTGTTTCAGGTCTTCATGATGATCCGGACAAGGATACTTCTAACAGAGTGAATGGCACCAGGATGACGTAGAAGTTATAAACGGTTTTTATATACTTTCAAGTCATTCAAGATAGAATTAAAACTATAAAATGCAACAGTGTACTTGGTGAACTCTGCACCTTACAGATATAAGGTATTTGATTTCGTTTTATTAAAACATAAAATCTTCTTTCACCTGATTGTTTGTGCACAGAAATATCAAAATTATGTTTGTAATATGTGTAATATAGAATATGTTTAAAAAATCAGTATGTTATTTTGGTTCAATATATTATACGTAAACTTTGAACATTCGTTTGCAAATAATTTATTTATAAAGATATTTAAACTGTTAATGCACCTGTTACATAAACAAAATGTGCATTTTTTATTTGTTGAAAAACATTTAAAAATGGAAAAATACTTAAGGACCTATGTAATGTAAAACCTTTATTGGTTTAGTGAAAAACCTCAACAAGTGGGGGAAAAAAACCCAAAGTCTTGATATAACTAATTTTCACACATTAGTGCACAATTTAGTCTCACGTTGTCTTATGTCAAGGCTTCTGATAGTTTGTTCTGGTTTTTCACTAACTGCTACACACGATATTGTGTTATTTTATTATTACTTTATTGGTATATTTTAGTAAAACGTATAGTTATGAACAAGCCTTTCAAATAAGAATTCCAAAACTTCTTCATTATAAATAGTTGAGTTGTTTTTTACTTATTAAGCCTACTGTTCGAATATTATTTTGGGTAAACAGTGGATTAACTATAAAAGCTGAACTGTTTGTAGCTGCGTGCTTGGAAGCTGCTTCCAAAGTATTCCACTTTTGTTGACAACAGCTAGGTTTAGTGACCTAAGGACAGAAATACTCATTAAAGTACTCTTCGCTTTTTTTCCCAGATTACAGCAAAGTGAAGCAAGTTACTCCATTCGTTTTTGTTCGTGTTCATATTTTCTGTTATTATAACTTTCTTTGGAGGGGAATCAGGGTTAAGAGACTTACGTTTATAACGTATTGTAGAAATTAATGACCTCTAAAACTGTTGCTGTTAAATATATTTAGTTTTCCCTTAGTTGTGTGTTTAAATTAATAGTGCTCTAAAAGTGGAGTTCAACTGAATATTAATAACTGATAACTTTTCATATAAGTTTTACATGAAAACATTTTACAAAATCACTGATATAGTTTAAGCTTAGAAGTTGTTATTTATTTTATAAAGGACGATTTTTTTACATATCTTACATTTTGTACTTGTAATAACTCCGTTGTATGAAACGTGAATGTCAACTTTGTACTAAACACTTGGGGTATTCAGTAGACTTTGAATGACATGTTCAGTATGCCCTCCATATTGTGATATCACGTGACGTATAATTGCACACTTTGAGCTGTGTCCTGTAAAATTTCACACAAGTACCAAGTCACTGCATCCTTCAGCTCCTGTAAAGTGTGTGGATTATTTACAAGTAACCCAAGACGGAGAAGATGGCTTATCCTGGCTTCCACTCTTAACTGATTTAAAACCTTGTGACTTCCAATCTTACCTGATTTAAACCTTGTGATGTCTTTCTTAGGGTTACTTGATGTTTATGGATGTGTCTTGTGAAATTCATACGTTAACCACTATTACATTTAAATCACAGATTTTTTTAAGAATGAAGTTTCATGATATTTTAATATATGTATGAAATATATTTGGACTCTTTCGCTTACATAAAAACTAATTACACTGTTATCAAGTCCATTGTTGAGTTGTAGAATTGAATAAGTGTCAGCATAATTCCGAAATTAACCCTATTACGTATACAAAATGATTATTTATTCCATCTATTTTGGTTATTATTATTAAAACTGGCATGTCTCATGTAACACAAATTAGCCTTAATTGATCCTCGAAAAACCGAAACAATGAGCTAAGTACCTGATTTAAACCCTTGTGATGTCTTCCTTAAGGTTATGGATGTGGCTTCCAATCTTACCTGATTTAAACCCTTGTGATTTTTTCCTCTATGGTTACTTGGTGTTTATGGATGTGGCTTGTCCTGGCTTCCAATCTCACTTGATTTAAACCCTTGTGATGTCTTCCTTAGGTTTTTTTTATGTTTACGGATATGGCTTCCACTCTTATCTCATTTAAACCCTTGTGATGTCTTCGTTAGGGTCATTTGATGCTTATGGATGTGGCTTATCCTGGATGTATGTATGTATGTATGTACATACGAGTAAATTTTGTAACATTATGTATAACTGACTATGATACTTAGAGAATACGTGGACAAACCATAATGAAATAAACTTGAGTGATAACTTAAGAATTTTCGAAAGGTAGACCTTAAAACCTTTCCAGACCGGCATCTCCAGTTATTTACGATGGCAAATAACGTCACTGAGGTTTTTTTGTTTTTTTAATGTATCTAGAAACCCAAGTCATGTACAAAATAGAACTGTAACTTGAATGTAAAAATTTTACATTTTTATTTTGGTGTATATCTTATGAACGTTCATTTGATAAAATAATAAAAAAGTCGATACTGCTTCCCCCCCCCCCTATCGCGCACACAATATATTTTTTATTTGAGAAGCAGAAATATTTAAATGCCCATGATAGAAAGTTTACCTTCCAAAAGAGCTTTCATTAAAGATTTTATTGTATGTTGATCTATTGTATTTATTATAATATCTTCATTTTAATTTTGGTTTTCAAGATAAAGGGGCATTATTCCCGCTTAAATATACATTTTTATACCCTACTTCAATGGAAATCGCAAATAATTCTTTATAGTATTTGTAACATTCAGGGTCTGTTCTAAGCTAAGTATGAGTATGAGTATGTGTTAGGCCATTCAGTGCATGGATATTTAAGTTATAAAATGTACATACTCATCCTTGTTAGGCCATTCAGTGTATGGATATTTAAGTTATAAAATGTACATACTCATCCTTGTTAGGCCATTCAGTGCAAACTTCTTATTTATTTAATAATTTCCTCAGTGAGTTAAAAAACAAATTCTTAGAATAACAAAAACTAAAAAATGTCCTTTTTCTTTGAAAAAGTTCATAATCTTAGCTTTATAATCGTGCAAATAAAAAAAGTTTCAAATATGTAATTTACACAACATCTATAAGTTTCTCTTTCTTTCGGATTATATGCGTTTTATTCCTTCCGTTAAGTTTAAACTATATTTGATTTTAATAAAATGTATTTAGTGCATGATATATCTTAAATTATAACGTATTTCATGTCCGTGAACGGCGAACAATTTTTATATACGTTTATAGTACTTATACAGGGCATTGCTGCCTTTCGTGTCCTATAAACTTTCGCATAATTATTCTATCTAATGTTCATCCTATAGATTTGTAATGATTTCAGAAGCGTTGTAACGTGGATTACATGGGTTTGGTGGTTGTTAAGCACAAAGCTGCACAATTGGCTATCTGTGCTCTGCCCACCACGAGTATTGAAACCTGATTTTTAGCTTTGTAAGCCCATAGGCTTACCACTGAGTCATTGGGAGGTGGATTCACTGGGACATTGTATAAACGTATAACATTAATGTATGATTACCATTCTGCCTGGTTTCTTTGACACACTATAAATTTATAAAGCTGTCTGTGTGATTTTTTTTTTAATTTTGCGCAAAGCTACATGAGGGATATCTGCATTAGCGTCCCTAATTTAGCAGTGATAGACTAGAGGGAAGGCAGCTAGTTAACATCACTCACCGCCAACTTTTATGCTACTCTTGTACCAGTGTATAGCGGGATTGACCGTCACATTATAACGCCCCCACGGCGGAAAGGGCGAGCATGTTCGGTGTGATGGAGATCTAAATCCGCGACTCGTAGATTACGCTCTAACCACCAGGCCAAAATTAGGGACAGCCAGCATAGATACTCCTTGTGTAGCTTTGTGCGAAATACAACAAAACAAACACACATTGTATTATTTGTCCCGATTTTAAAACTGACATGTAAAAAAATGAACTCCTCAATACACCGTTAACTTTAAACACTTTTTTCAGAAAAAAAATCAATTTTGGTACTGATGATCCATAAGTTTACACCACTTGACATTTTACGTGTATAGGTTACCTGTAATACGAGATCTAACAGGTTAGCGAGAAAATCTGGACATTGTACAAAATAATAATGAAGCACAAAAAACATGCGGTGTAGAAATAAAAAAACTTATATTAGTTTTATTTTATGGAAGAAGTTGAAATAAATTTTTTGCATCATTTACTTTACTTTACCATGATGGTAATCTGTATTGTCAAAACTGTTTTATTTTCCAAATCATTTACTTTACTTTACTTTACCAGTATACTTCTTAGTATACTTCCTCGTGTACACCGGTTGTTACTCGAAGAATATCTAGACGATACTATATCTCCCTCCAGGTGTTGTTCAGCATCTCGGTAGTCACGTCCGTTGTTGCATCTGATCCACGATATCACGCACGGATGTCGAACAAACCTGATCTTTCACAACCCCCACAAGACAAAAATCCAACGGGGTTATGTCAGGGGAACGTGGGGGTCATCGTGTTGGTCCGTATTTTCCTGAATAACACATTCCCAGACAGATTGATTGGTACTCTTTTCTAGCGTTGCTCCTACGACAGATCCGTAACGGAAAGGAGGGGGAAAATATTCATGAGTTGTTCGTCAAGTTAAATAAAACCGGAGTGTTCTATCTATAATATTTTTGAAGTTGTTAATTTTTAAAATGGGTCAAAATTTATGGATACCCTGTATATTAACTGAAGTGCTTGTCTCGTTTCCACTACACTGTACGTTTAAACTCCGGGTCCAGTACGTATTATTCAAACTATACCACCTGTACTTCTACGTCGTTATGTGATGTAATGTTACAGTACTAATTATATGTACCAATGTGTGTATTTTGTTTTGGTTCATTACAGCTGTATTCGAACAGTACGTGTACTTCTGTGTTTTCTATTAGGTCGTCTGGATATTGTTTAAACCCTAGTTTTATTGACATATATTTTGTCTGTTGTCGAAGGTATATATATGTTGGTAAGCCGATTGTGTGCAGACTATCATATCATAAGAGGACAATCGTAAGTGTTTAGTTAGAGAAAATGTGATACACAGTATCTACTCCTGGTTTTTGAATA